AAAAACATTGGATAGAAATAACACTGATGCATGTAACTTTCCACCATACACTATTTAACGATAAAAAAAAAAAATAAATAAAAAAACATGTAAAACCATATACCAATATTATCCAACATGCGATACTGTATACAATAGAATCCCGCAACCACTGTATACAGTATTTTGCAAGCTTCAGAGGGGAAATTTTTGAGTGTATTAACTGATCCTGAACTTAATTGATTCCTAGGCCTAGGGCTTAGGCTAGGCCAGTTTTATGCTGACCTTTGAAACAACACAAGAGTGACTAGTTGTATATAGTATAAAAAAATTCATGTGAAACATTAATATTTCATAATTATTATTATTATTCATAATAATTCTGTGAAAGATTGGATGTTATATTTAACAAGGCTACGGCACATTGAATAAACATTCAATTTTCCACTGAATGAAACATTCTATTCTATTGCACTTTCTATTAAACATTCATTATCAGAGCTTTAGGGAGGTTTCGATTTGCACGAAGACGTTACGCTAGAACACATTCACTCAAGCATGACCTTCCTGTGTTCTCTCTACAATATAGATTCAGCTAAATTGCATCCTAGAATCCACACGAATTGAACTTAATATTCTTGAATGTGCAGATGACTTTTCAATTACTTTCTAAAAGCTCTCTATTAAATTCATCATGCAAACATGCCCAAATATGGTACTAACCTTTCTTTACCGAACTCCACAGGTGGTCTTTGTTATGACACTGCTCAAAGGCAATAGGCAGCTTGACGTGTCCAGCACACACGTACCAAAGTAGGATGCCAAATGCGTATACATCAACGCTGTTGTCGTACTTTCCTGAAAAAAGCTCAGGCGCCATGTGGATGGGAGTTCCCACGATGCTCCCACTCATCATGGCTTCCGGCTTGCAAAATCCAAGGTCAGTTATCTTTCCACGATTATGCTTATCAAGCTAAAAGTGAGACACAAAAGACATTTACATGATAGGTACAAATATATCTGAAGCGGATAATCACTAACAGTATTTTGGAAGATGTGAGAATTGATAATATTGGTTTTTTTTCCCTGATCAAGATATTCAGAATGTAACTTACATTATGAATTACCTTACACAGAACATACATATTTATTTTATTTTTATTCACACTTACTACATATCACTTTTTTCCTAATGAAAATTCATTAAGAACATTTCACATACAAACATTGCATTTTCAATTTGAATTTCTTTTAATAATACATATATATTTCAAATGTTTTAATCATTTCCCTTTAACTTTGAAGATTAACCCTCTAGATACCGTCTTCGACTGTAGTCGAAATTGACCTCAAACCGAGAATTCCCATTTTCGACTGCAATCGAAATTTCGTGACTAAAAAATAGGAGGTTTTCAAATCGCTCCTGTTTTTATTTTAGCTCCAATACGTCAGAAATTTTGAACACGCATGCGTGAAGCTTTTGTTTTTCGAAATCTGTGAAGAACTCACATGTGCTTATATAAAAATGTTTAGAAATATCAATTTGAATTCGTTATTAATTTCAAAAATTTTTCGAAATGGCCGCACAAGATGTGTACACAGCTGAGCAAGCGATTGACCTGATTTTTGATTCAGACAGCGATGAAGGTGAATTTTTAGATGTGCGAGAGACTTAGACGTGCCTGTTAGCGATGATGACGGTGGGGCTTCAAGCAGTTCTGACGGCGGAGATATTCTTGATGAAGATGAGGCTAGGCCTAGAAATGTGAGGGTAGTCGACGCTTTTGAATGGAAAGATCGCGCTTATAGTTATGGATGGTTGGGTAAATAAATTATATAACTGTGTGGAATAGGAATGTTTTATATTTGTTTTTATTTTTTTTTTGGCTATAATTTATTTTCTTTTTCGGTTTTTGCTGACGATTTATATGTAGCATTTTTCTGTCATTTCTATTATATTATATATATATTATATTATATTATATTATGAAATAAAATTCCCAAAAATATAAATTATACATCAAATGAAAGCTTATTCTATAAGCTTTCTTTGTTTTTAGAAACATTTTTCTGTATAATTTACAGAAAGTTCCCAAAAATCCACCAGAACGACGTATACTCAAAAAAAGCAAAAATCCTTGTTACACTGCAAAAGAATCCGGTATTCAAGGGTTTGCACTACAAAAGAATCCGGTATCCAGAGGGTTAAGCTTTAAACAGACTTTACAATAATAGGCCAATGTTCAAAGTTTATGCCATTCTGATAAAAATGTTTGTTTATTTACAGCTATACAAGAATAACTAATATTATGAGATCAAAATACAGGAATATATTTTAAACTTTAAAAATAAAAATATCTTTTTTCACATACAACACACTCAACTTACCAAAACGTTCTTCAGTTTGACATCTCTATGTACTAAGCCTAGGCTGTGTAGGTAACGTAAGCCTTCTACGACATCACAAGCCACCTGGAGCCGGCTTGGGAAGTCTAGGTTCCCTTTAATGGCAGCGTGTAAATCGCGTTGCATGCGGTCCATTAGAAGGAGCACTGCAGGGGAATATCCACCACCGTAATTATGATCGATAACTGAACCACGCAAGGCCACTACACGGTCATGCTCAGGAATTGATCTGTACACAGAATAATATAGAGAAATATATAAATAATAACAGATACATTTGAAAATGATAATTATAAAGTACAATAATAAAAAAAAAACTACCATAAACCATCAATGTATATCCAAACAGGTTACATGTTGCTCCCAAGTCAATTCAAGCAGCCTCCAATAATCCCCCGGGCTGGACGATAGGGTCATACCCAAGGAGGGCTGATTGATGGGGGCTGAACGGCCTGAAAACCCACAAGACAGCTCCTGGACATTTACTAATCCTAACATCACACCATGACAATATTCTCAAACATTTTTTTTAAAGTCCTCTCACATTACGTAATAGTAAAGCTTCTTAAAATCCTCTTACAGAGATCCCAAGTTTGAAAACCAAAAAAATAGGGAGATTTTTTTCGTGAAGTGATCGCCTCCTGTAGCGATGCGCTGTGATGCCTTACGACGCGCTGTGCAACATGAAAGTATTACACAAAATGAAGAAAACAAACAATTTTCATCAATTTGTTTACTTTTATTTAACAATTTTACATTTTTTTACACATTGCAGTTGGCCTAAAATATAAATTTATAAATATTATTATTTATTTAGAATTTTGCTAGTAAAGCGTTCTTGGCAGCAGTCAACAAGGCTTTGCTTGGTTCATTGGCATATTAGAGGCTATGGCTGATTTACTACATTTCTTCAAAGAACATAGAACTCTAGCAAGGTAACTGCAACTTGCAAGATCCACACGTTTGCTGATAGAGCCTAGGCCTACAAGTATTTCGGGATCGATATTAAAATAAACTTCATTTTTCGGAAAACTACTTAGTACCAAAACTTACTATGATTTTTTTTAGTATTGTTATTAAAGAACTGAAGCTTACTTGAAAGAAAAAGTATCTTTTATGCACTGATTCTACAAAGTTCAAAATCTTCGCGGCGAAAAACTCGGGGCATCCATTCCCATGTGATTTCTGATTTCGTTAATTTGTTGAAATTTATTTACTCAATTGACAGCCATCTCAATGATTGAGGTCGGCGCGGGTGAAAAAGATCGTAACATGGAGGATAAACAAGGCGATTCTACCACGGATCTAGGCCTGCCTTGCCATGGAGTTGTTATTTTGATAAACAACTTAAATAACAACTCCCTGGTCTTGTTTACGACATTTTAAGGCTGAGCGAGCGCCATAATATATTGGCTTAAAATAAGAAATTTTTTTTCATTGCTCTATGACATCGTGGAAATCACATTTTTCGTGAAATTTTCGGGATATTTAAAAAAATTGGGAGATTATTAATAAAAATCGGGAGGGCGGGAGACAGCCTCAAAAATTGGGTGAAACCCGCGATTTTCAGGAGACTTGGATCTCTGCTCTTAACACTTCTAGGTTTACGGATATACAATCCTCCAATGCCTGATTAGAAGTAATCAAAAGGTTCATGGTATACAATTATTAAATGTAGGAACATCACCCACCCACCCTTTCCCCACCCCCTGCATCACAGCATGGCCCAAATGCCAACGAAAGAAAATGGACACACTGATCATGTGAGCTCAGATATCCGGGTTTGACAGCATGTTAAGTACATATATATTCCACAATCACCTAAAGAAACCTAGCTGTTATAAAAAGGTTGAGGAATAAATAGGTAATTAGTCTGTTTATTGTACCTATGTTGCTGTATTTATTAATTGTATTATTGACTAATATGGCTACTTGTTCAACTGTTCATTGTAC